TGGAGGTGCGGATCTCGCGAACGATGGTTGCGCGTTGCGGGGTGATTGTCACGGATTTGGTGGGGAGGTCTGTGATTTGGATTGTCGAGGTCGGGATCTCGGCCATTTTTTTTTGCTTTGGGGATTGTTTTGTGTTGTTTTATGTACTTGGGATGGTTTGGGTTGGGAGTGACTGGGTGGGATACGAGGTTTAAGTAGATTTGGGGCAGATCTTCAGCCTCGTGGCGCTAGTTGATGGTGGGGGCCAATGGGAGAGGGTTTAGGGATTAAAATACTCAGTGATCAATTGCTATGTATGCTATGTGTAGCCAGTCGCTCTAACATGAATCAATGAATAGGATGAAAGCGTAGTATCTACTCCTCCAAGTCCTTCTTCGTCCACTGGTGTAGCAGCACCTGCGTCTGTCGGTTCTTCTCCTGGTAGAGCTTCCGCGCCAGTTGCTTGTAGAGAAAGACGCCGCCGCCATGGTAGCTGATGCCGTGGTCCGAGTCTGTAAACCATTGGGATTGGAGCTTCTCCGGCGACACGCCGTCGCCCATGAGGAGATCCACCAGTGCAGCCGAGTTCTGGAAGTGCACGTTATCGTCGCCCGTGCCGTGCTGGATCAGGAATCCACCCTCGACGTTCTTGAACCCGTCGGTCTTGCGGACGGCGCTGGTGTTGTAGCCCGCCTCGTTGGTCGAGAGCGTCTTCATGTAGCGCTCCGTGTACATCGAGTCGTAGAAGCGCCAGTCGGAGACAGGGGCGGTGATGACTCCCAGGGTGAAAGCACCGCTGTCCTTCTCCAGAACCTTGCTGCTCAAGTAGCCGCCGAAACTCCAGCCCCAGATGCCGATGTGATCTGCATCGATCCAGGGGATGTTCGCGGCCTGTTGCGCCGCGTAGATCTGGTCTTCTGCTTCGAGGAGCCCGAGCTGGCCGGTCACGGCGGAGCGGAACTTGCGACCCTTGAACCCTGTGCCGCGGTTGTCGACGGTCCAGGTGACGTATTCGAGCTCGCTGTCGGAGGCCACGTAGGCCTTGAAGTTCAGGGCTTGCCATCTCTTGGCCACTTCTTGGGCGCCGGGGCCGCCGTATGGGGTGAAGAGAATGGGGTACTTCTTATCGGGGGAGAACCCGGGGGGTAAGCGCTGCATGACGTTGAGGGTTTCTCCGGAGGGGAGGGGCAGTTCGAAGTAGGTGATGTTGGGCAAGGCGTAGTCTTTGATTTGCTCAAGGACTTTGGCGTTGTCGGTGATGGTGCGGAGTGGTTTGGTACTGTTGGTCGAGTAGAGTTCCTGGTAGGGTACGTCTGGGCCTCCGTATGTGAGGATGTAGTAGCCCGAGTTCGCGGAGAAGGAAGCAGACCAGTACGCGGCGACGGTGTCGTCAACTAGCGCGGTGACCTCAAACGTGGAATAGGAGACGGAGTAGAGATGGCGCTCGGTGCTGTGATGTTGAGTCGACTGGTAGTACACCAATTGGCGCTCCTGGTCAATACTCAGGATCGACGTGACCTCCCATTCGCCTTTGGTCAATGGGATAGGTTTGCCGCCCGCAACGGGGAAGAGATAGAGATGCGCCCATCCCGAATGGTCGGAGATGTCAATGTAGTAGGTCGCCTTGCTGGACGCCTTGCTGGACGACTTGATAGAGCCGATATACTTTATTGAAAGGAGGTTATCGAGCCATCCATCTGTTCCATCCCGGTCGCTGATGACGGTAGCCTTGTTCGAGGCAGTATCGACTGCGACGACCTTCTGCTGGTCCTGGACACGGTTGAACGCCTTAGCTGCAACGGTGGTGTGGGTATCAGTGAGCCAGGCAACCTCGCCAATGATCAAGTCCGTTGGCTCAAACGCGTCGATCGGCGCCTGCTTCACCTCCTTGCTAGCGATGTTGAGAAGACTCAACGTCACGGTCGGATTCGTCTGCGACACCTTGGGGTATCGTATCTTCAGCTCCCGCGGATATGCCGGAGCCAGTGGTTGGTTATCCATATAATACTGCACAGTATAGGTCGGAACACCAGTCTCGTTGAAGCTCAAGTACGCCAGATATTCACCGTCCGGCGAGAACCACAACGCGTAGCGATCGCCCAGGATCTCCTCTTCATAGATCCAGTCTGGCACGCCATGGAACATATCGGGGCCACCATCGTCGGTGATCCGCGTAACAGTGCCATTGTCCCAGACATAAAGGTCATTGTCGCGAACAAAGGCGATGGTATTGCCCGCCGGGCTCCACTGCGCATATTGAATATCACCTTCCTGATCGGGCACCAGGGGCACGGACTTCAGCGACTCCACGTCCTGGACGTAGTAATCGGCAAAGAACGAATGCCGGTACTGCTTGGTGTGGTTGGACGCCCACAGCACCGACGACAAGTCTGGATGGATCCAGTAGTCGAATGCTTCCTTCCCGGTTGGAATCTTGTCCGCAGGGATGAGCGTGCGCGACTGGTTGGTGACGATGTTCTCGATGGTAAGACTACCGTCTTCCGCCGCGTACACGTAGGAACCATCCTCCGCGCCCGAGAGCCATTGCACCGAGCGCGAGGTAGGCGTGATTGCTTGCTTGATTACGGTCTCATTGAAGGTGAGACGTTTACTGCCGTCTCCGGTGGGCGCGTGTGGTTTCCGAGGCACATCTAGGGCCTGGGCCGCGCCGACCAGGAGCAGCAGAAGCTTGGAGTACTGGATTTTGAAGAGTTAATTATAACGGATTCAATGCTTGATTGTATTTAATCCACAATGATTTGTCAATAGGAATTAACGTACCTTCATGGTGGACAAAAATCCCGAGCTCAGCAGGAATCAAGGGATGGCTGGTGAAGCGGAAATCCCGACGCTGTTTAAATAGGCGCATTTTGACTTGTTTTCCCCCGCAGAAATCGCGTCTTATCAGTCAGCCCTCGTCCTGCATTAGCTCCATCACCACCACCTTCACTTTCCCTACCCTGCCAAGATCCTCATTAAAAACCGCTGATAGCCGTTGGACAAGCCGCAGGTTCATTGGTAGCAAAGCTTCTAGCGGTGTAACCCAAGACTCTCACATAATTTAAGACGATTCTAGGCTGGCCGAGATAAAACATGACCATTGCAACATAGAACCTGCCGATGATGCTATTGGGGGATTGTCCCGTGTCTAACCATTCGAAGCTGGACAGTCGCGAGAGGTGAAAAATGATCTACAACAAGTGTATAAACAGGACGATTTAAACATGCTTGAATATATCGTACATACAGGATCATTGCTAGCTTCAATCGCACGAACAATGACGCCGTGAGGAACCAACACACCTCTTTGTTGCTATTTACCAATGACCACCAAGGGTGCAGGTTGGGTAACCTCGCCTTTATGCAGTAAAGCCCTTGCTACGGCCGGATCCGTGTCCATGACCGGGTGTCTTGTTATGAGGCCATCGCGCTTGGCCGAGCCATCCTTCTTGTCCTCACCATCCTTCTTTCCTTGACCATCCTTCTTGTCCTGGCCGTCCTTCTTGTCCTGGCCGTCCTTCTTGTCCTGGCCGCCCTTCTTGTCCTGGCCATCCTGCTTGCCCTTGGACTCATCGTCGTGGTCAGGGCGCTCGTCGCGGGCCCCAAGACCACCAAGACCTCCAACAACAGGAAGGCCGTTTGTTGGGCTGCCGCCGGTGAGTTCGCCAGTAGGAAGCTTGTCGGTGGGGAGCTCGGTAGGAAGCTTGCCAGTAGGAAGCTTGTCGGTAGGGAGCTTATCGGTAGGGTTCTCGGAGACTGCTCCGTCTACCGGGCCTTCACGACGCCCGAGACTTCCAACAAGAGGAAGTCCCTTAGTAAGGCCACCCAATGGGCTACTACTGGCGCCCTGGGCACCATTGCCCTGGCCAGAGGTTGGAGGGTCGCGGGCGAGTATTCCGCCAGCGGGACCTACTAATCATCAGTTAAGCTTCCTACAATTTTGCTCGAGAGACAAACCGTTGCGAGCTGGAGCCGCGGCGACGAGTCCAGTAACGCTCAGAAGAGAAAGGATGGTAGCGGCCTTCATTTTGGTAGTGCGTAGAAAAAGAATGACTGATTTTAAATGGGAGGCTGAGTTGATAGGATTGTGATGATGGGAGACACAAGAACCACCGGTCGCAAGGCCTGCTTTATACTCTCTGTTCAGAGAATCCAGGAGGTCTGTTACTTTGCTGCTGCTGCTGCATCACAACCGAGTGGTTGCCAATTGATCTCCCTTAGTTACGTGTGCACCATTCAGCGTGTCTCAGAGCTGATCATCAAGCAGACAGACAATCATCGCCATGACGAGATAGATGTCGCCATCCCATCTACCCTGGCAAAGGTCCATCTGTTCACCTTATTGGCAGAAGCCAACATATTGCGACAGCAGCTATCGAAACTAGGGCCGAAAGTGCTGCAAGGCGGATGAAGATCGCGATGTGTAAGAACACACTTGACACCATTGAACTCAGGGCGCGTAGATCAACGTTTAATGGCGGGCAATTAAGCTACAAGCCCCATTGCCTGAGCGTTCAGGAACCACAGTTCCGGGACATGATCGGCCAATTATTGGCAGATACACCGATTCCGTAAAATTAGGAACTCCATGTGTTTTCTGACCCCTTGAACTTGACGCAAGGGATGCGCTGATCATCCTCGGTTGCCTTCTCCATAGTGATCATCGAACAATGACCGCGTATACACTCCGAATAGACGAGGCATGTTTCAGGACTTGCGATCGGTACTGGCGCACCAGGGGTTCATGGGGATGACGCTGCAGACGAGGCTTGTTTGGTCTTTAGATTGCGCCATCGCTTACCCCGACGGCAACATCCACGCACTGTCAGTCCTGGTCAGGGTTGTAGGTGGTTCATGTACGCGTTGCTCATTAGATCTACCACAGCATATGCCATATGTGTATATACATAGAAAAAAACAAAAAACAAGAGCACAACACACCACGCTCCATATGTACAGAGCCCCCCCTTCGAAAAGTATCGACAAACCCCTCACCACACTCCGACGTCACCAGCTGACGAAGTGTACCACATTAACCACGTCTACTTCCGCAAGGGCTTTCTCAAAAAGTCCGCCCAGATGATTGCATCCTCCCCGTCCAGCAGGGGCTCGTGATACCTCGGCTCCGACTTCCAGTGCACATAACCCCGTCTCTCATACCACTCCACCGTACAAACGGCAGGCCGGACTCGGTCCAGCTTGTTCCAGAAATGACTCTCCTCGTAGAAATACCGCTTGCTGAGCCCGTTCAGTGTGAGGTATTTACAGTCCGGGCTGCCATACGGTTCCTGGCTCGCCATCGCTTCCACTATATCCATGGCTTTGCGCCCGAGACCACCGCGGTGTGTCGGGTCGATGAAGAAGGTCTGGATGGTGAGGGTGGAGCGATCGGCCGTGGCGAGCTCGGGGTCGGGGGGACTGGCGTAGGAGTCGAGAGAGATGTGGCCGGCGCGGATGCGAGGCGCATCGGGCTCGGTGGAGTGTGAAGGGACGGTGATCCAGAAGAAGGATTTGAGATTCGCGTCTTGTTTGTCGCGCCAGGCGATGAGGTTGGCGTCTTCATAGTCCCAGCCGCATTTTTTGCGCTGTTGCTTCAGTTCGGCGAACTCCGCCGAGTCGTGGAGGTTGATCGGGATGAGCGTGCATGGCTCTTCTGCGGTGGATGTGATGGTGGTGGTTGTGGTTGTTGTGGTTGTTGTGGTCATGGTGGGATTTTTAGGGGTTGTGCGGTTGAAACTCGATATCGAGGGAAACGCACACCAATGTAGGTATCAGAAGATATATAGAGAGGGGTATCGGTATCTCAGAGTTATCTCGGGGTTTTACAAATCTGACAGTTCATCATTTTGACTCATTCTGAACAATTTTTCATTAGTAAATAGATCTTTCTCGGTCCAATGGGAATGCTTTCCTGGTGTTAAGGTTTTATCTTATCGCCCGTCGCGTGGCGATTATATCCGAGCTGTTATATCCGACGCCATACAATAGAAAGGATTGAATTCCTACTAAAAAGGATATATCCAACAGAGTTCGAAATGTTAAACAAGACAACGAAACGACAGAAGATTGAGACTCGAGAGCAGCGCTAGAACTATGTCCGACAGCAGACCACTCAGAGCAATGATTTGACAAAATTTGGTGATTTTAACAGGCGGTATCTCTTTGCCTGTGAGAATTAAACTCCTGATTTCTTATTCCAGGGTACTGAGTAGAACTCAGCTTAAAGAATACGGGCACTCTGGAGAACATTATCGTCGATGTTGTATGTTTGGTAGGCGTTGGTGTAGCAGTTAAGTTAGTATAGGCGTTAGTTATGGTGGGGCTATTCCTGCCAGGTGGCCCTTGGTATGGTCTATCATGGGCTACATTGGTACTGTATGTGCTATAGCCATTGTTCTAGAAATCCCAAATAGTGCGATGACAGGAGTTCTGGAGAGGAGGGTTAGTTAAGTCATGTTCGTGAATACTGGGGATTGGGAAGGAGGAAAGAAAGAAGTACCAATTCACACTTTCAAAGTTTACTTTCTGCTGACATGCTTTGAGAGATGACATAACTGAGCTATGGCATAATTGAGCATTGATGATTTGAACCGACTGATGACTGTACCGTATACCCTGTCCTTGGTGCATAGATAATCGGCCACCGAACGGTAACGTGATATCACATATCCGTTGGCTTCTCAATGATTAGTAGACTACACACCATGCTGATGTTGTATGGAAGATCATGAGCTCCTCGATACAGGATCTTTGGCCATGAGTTGACGATCTGTTAGTAGTGATAGGAGGTCAAAGATCAGTTTCTGTCTTAATAATATCCACTACCTGCGTTGAGCTCTGTTAGCTTACGTATCCTTACCTGATTAATGATTCTTCTGCCTTGACTAGTAGAAATCTCTGACAATGATCATCGATTCATATATACGCTGTATAAGATATTCATCAAATGGGTTAGTGACAGTTGTCAAGCTACTACATGAGAAACAGCGATGTTAGCATACTTAGAGTCCTTTCTTAACCCTGCTTCTCTCATCCACTCCTAGGAAACTCCCCAAATGCTGGATAGCGGATTGTATCATGAAAGGCACATCCTAGTAGTTGACAACCCGCTAATCCTGTCATTCCTCAACCACAATACCCTCCACCCCCAGCCCCAAAGCCAGTCCAGCCTCGAAACCCCTCCACAAAACTCACCGCAGCCCTCAAGCACCACCCATCCGTCTCATTCTTCCACTCCTCCAACATCCTCAACGCCCTCACAACCTTAATTACGTGCACGTCCTCCCCAAACCCCTCCTCCAAACACCTCTCATAAACCCACCCCCAATCCCTTCCCCGTAGCTCAACCTCTCTCACGTCTCCCCCATCCCCAATCTCAGGCCTCAACTGCGCAACATAAAGATAAAGCACGAACAACCAAAACTGCCTCACCACTCCCAGCCTGTAACTCCCCGGAAACGAAGGCAAAAGCACCCTCAAAGCATGCCCGACGGTCAACAAATGCGCTAGAAGGAAGTCATACTCATCGTCTTCATTCCGAGACTCAATGAAAAGTAGTCCCGCAACATCGACCACATCCCTGAACTGTTCTACAGGGTCGACGATATCCCACGCATTCCAGTGTTCGAGGAGGGCGTGCTCTGCATGCGCGAAGGTAATTGAGACGTTGATGTAGCCTGGGATGGAGAAGAGGTTGGAGAAGCGGGCATCGGTGTGCACACGGCGGAGGATTTCCTCTGCAGAAGTTGTTTTGTAGGTTGATGTGTCTGGGTATGGGGTGTCGAGGTAGACGTGGATCGGGTCTCGGTCTGTGCAGCCGAGACTCAGCGCTTCGGCTGCGATTTGGGGGTTGGAGAATTCATAGCCGTAGGCGAGGTGGATTAATGGGTGGCCGACTGTACAATGCTTAGCTTGTGGTTTGGCGAGATGGGGGGTGAGGAGGGCTTACGGCCGCCGACGAAGCCGTTGATTAGGGGTTGGGGTGAGCTGAAGAGGTATTCATTCACGACACTTCTCCAATCGTTTTGGGCGTTGGCTAGTTCCTGGTCAAAGAAGGTGGTGTATGCGGCTGTGTATCTTGTTCCAAATGTTAGTTCTAGTTTTTGGTAGGTGATGGAATGTAGGCAGGTGTGTACTTCTTTTTTCCCAGGAACTGTCTCCAGTTGTCCTGTGTGATCCCGGTGCGGATATGTATGTCGTTGAGGCTTTTGAGCGGAGAACAGTCGTTGTGGTACATCTTGACCAGTTTCTCGGAGGGGTATCCTAGTAGATAGGCTGATCCCAGCATCTATACCCCGGTTAGAGGTGTTTTAGTTCCGTTGAAGATGACTTACATGGGGCACATGGTTATGGAAGATGAGTCGTGGTTCAGACAAAACTGCATGATCCTGGTGATTTCTCTGCATAAGCGAATACACGGTTTTGGAACGCTCATCTGGGAGAGACTGTAGATCAACTGAAGAGACGGAAGGCAAATCGAACTCTTGTTTACAAGTCATGGTTTTTTTTAAAAAAAAAACACTGCTTTGGATTTAGATAAACTACGGTGGAAAATATGGAGCTAGACTTGATATAAACTCAGAATAGCGGCTATTTTATACTATATCCCCTCGCGTATCGGCTTTTGGAAGCTCCGCTGGCTCCGACATGGGGGGCTGTTGACTTCAAGCCCTGGTCCGAGGAATCGTCTCTCTGTTTCACAGGTAGTAAGTGAATGCACTAAGCATGGTTCAAGGTTGTAGACAAGCAACCCCACTTCACAAGTGATGTTTAGGTGTTAATACGTGGCCAAACACAAGGTTCAATTCAACTACCTAGTCCCGAATTGCTCTGTCATCACCGCTACTAATTATATCTGCAGATGGTGGCCTAATACTATGCCTTAAACAGCATCCCCCATACCTTCTCCTCAACCGCAAGATACCAGGGAATGTAGTGAGCCAGAGTCCCCCGTAGAATTCTTCGTGTAAGCTCCGGTGCATGTCGAAGTTGATCTTTCGAAGCACTCGAGATAATTACAGCACTAGAGTTTCTGTACCCATCAGAAATCGCAATTTCCACGAAGCTGCCGCCAGATCTGCATAAGACACAGTCAAAGAGCCCTTCTCCGTACTGATAAGATGCCCGGATGGTCCCTCCTCAATCAGGGCTGGGGGCTGTACAAGACACAGCCGTAAAAGCTGTGGATGGGCTTCATAGACAGCTTGTGCTTCGCGAAGGTCGTTATACGCATAACAAAATGCGTTGCTAACTACCCAGTGCACCAGTCGTGGACGGGCGGCAGCGACTGCAGGATTCAATGTATCTGATGAAAGAAGTATCAGGCGAGGCTGACGCCAGTTGGAGCTATCCTCTTGACTCAAAACTTGCAGCGCGGAGACCGTGGTGTTTGCTGCATCTTGTAGTAACCGTAGCCCGGCGATATTCTCGTTCTCGCCAAGAGCGGAAATGATGATGTCTGCCCCTGACAAGCATTGTCGCCAAAGTTCAACGTCGGTGATAGATCCTTCAAATATTCTCACCCCTGGATAAGCTTCTATGCCCGGGAAGAACGACAAAAGTTTTGCTCGCGACCGGACATAGACATGCAGAGCCCAGTCGCGATAGTTCTCCGTAAGAAGTATTTGCAGTATACCTCGTCCGGTGCGACCGGTAGCGCCTAACAGACATATTTGACCTGGCCTCATCTGAGTCATACTAGCCCAACTTGAGAACGTAAAGACGAAGAATGGACCAAAGAGGCATCAGGGATCACTAATAAATCCATCCCAGTTATAGAACACTTCATCAACTCGGGCATCGCTGCTAAACCACGCCGACCCGACATGGTTGGTATCGTTCACTTAGCTACCTCAGGAAGTGATTGGCAAGTGGTTGTCACTAAGAGTTCGAAACTGCACCCTTGAGTCGGTCATCATTCTAATTGACAAGGATATCGTGCGCAAAGCCCGATTGAATGTTCCAAAAGCCGACAAAAGCCGAGCCGACCCACCAAAGGATCTAGGCTTGTCGAATCAAACCAAATTGCGTAAGGTTGGTGGATGTTCCCTGGAACGCTCAGAGAACAACAAACGTTCCTGATGAAGGTTACCTTGCTGCGTAGCAATGTCGTCATGGATCTTCGAGGCGCAAACTGAAAGGGATGGAATCATATGATATATGCCAATTAGTCACGGTTAGCCACTGACCAACATGCTTGAAGCTATAAAGCCATTGCCGGCCCCATCCAGAACGACCCCATTCCAATTGGAAGTCTATTCACCCACAACCTGACATACCTAACATTATGAGCACCCATCCAACTGCGTTTTACGCCGCCCAAGTGGTGGGCTTGACTGGCGCCGCCTGGCTTTCCGGTAAATTCTTCCACGCATTGTCAAGTGGAATTCAGTGAATAACCAATCTAATAACCGTCAAAGGCAAAATCATCTCATTGAGCACAGTCACTGTGCCTGCACTGATACAGGCGACACGCGAAGATAGATTACCGCTCGATGCTGCTGTCAAATTATGGCGCAAGCTTTATAACAGAGGCAAAAGCCAAGCTCCTCCTATCGCCGCTGTCACCTCCACAGCGTTTCTTTATTGTGCCTGGGCCGTTCGCACTAGCACGACGCTAGCCCCCTTGACCCCGACTCACAGCTCTTCTTTGTACTGTGTGGCAGCGGCCTTGACGTTGGGGATCGTACCCTACACCTTTGGTATGATGCTGGGTACCAACAACAAGTTGATGGATCTAGCCACCTCGAATCGGGTGGTCGACGAGAAGTCGAGCGTGGAAGTTGAGTCATTGTTGTCCCGGTGGCTGAAGCTCAATGCCGGTCGGGGATTGTTACCGTTGGTAGGAGGCCTTGTTGCTCTTACTGCAGCTATTCCTTGGCCCCTGGAGATGATTTAATACCGGGCCATTGCTTTGTATTTGTGCTTCTTGCGGAAATTCAATACGATCGCAGAATTGGTGTCGGTGGGATTCTTGGCGTTGGTTGCATCCTTGGTTGTTTCATTAGACCAATTGAAGATCAGTTCAAATTAACAATTAATTCAATGCTACATACTCATTAACTCTTCTTTACTAGGATGTAGTGAGATTGTATCGTACGTACTATCAAGTCGACCCTTGAGCAGAGAGTACAAGATCTTCGGGTAGTGGATCTCTGTATCAAGGGATTCAGGTACCGACTCGGAATGAAATACCGTCGCTCTCGAAGAATGTTCGTCTTGAACCAACACCGGAAGTTGATGTCAACGTGATGTGCAACGAGTGAGTCACATGGAGCAAACAATGCAAATCGCGTTGGATTAAAACGCGGCTGACAACGCCCGTCGACTAAGCCCTGCGACAATCTTGTCGATCGTGTCAGCAACGAAACTAAGGAGGCAATCTGATTGCTGTGTCTCATCTGATAACTCTATTGGCCTCTCAGGAACTTGCAAGAATATGGTGAGTTGAGGACGATGGTGAATCTTACCCCAGATATCAATATCGGATGTTTGCAACTGGAGAAGTATTATGTCTTGGAATCAAGTACTAACCTATATAGCGGCCCCTGTTCCGCATCTGCACTCAACTAAAGACGTTGGGTACACCCAGAACATGCCTCCCATCAATACTTCCTCGCGCTAGTGTGTATTCAAAAGGCAGAATGGCCTCGACAGACACCCAGCTAAGCCTGAAACCACATCATCACGTAGTCAAGATCGAGGGCGCCAGCGAAGACAGTAAAAACCACGGCGAAGATCTCATCGCCCAGCTGAAATCCATACCATCTGATATAACAGCACTCCGAATCGAGGAGGAAACCCCATCAGACAAGGAATGGGCCATTCTCGGCTCGCACTTCACTAACATCCAGTCCTTGGAATTGGAGAGCGGATATAACGAGGAACTCAATGACAAAGAATTACCCCTACATTGGCCCCTGAAGCGGTGCAAAATTCTGAGTGCCTGCGGGGAAGTCACTCAGACTCCGCACATACGGCAGGGCCGTATGAGCCATCTCATCTTGTTTCTTACCTCCGGTCTCCGCTTCGAAGGGCCCACATCGAAAGAGTTGAGCAAAGCACATTCCCAAGCGATTGCCCGGGGTGAAGAGAAAGCCCATTGCATCACTGTGAGAGAGGGCACTCCTGAGGAAAAGAAGATCGAAGTCACATGGATCCCGGAGCTGGCCGGCAAATGGATGAATAACAAGTACAAGGGTAAAGAGGAGCTCCAGTTAGAAGAAGATAACCGCCCGCCACCGACGATCAACCTACGCACACTAGAGATTCTAGAAAATGACGCCATCGACACCTTCTGCCGAATGGCCCTCGCATTACCTCATCTCATCGAGAACTTGACGACATTAAACCTCCGTTCAACACACTGTTTGGACTTCCAATTCCTGCATGAAAGCATGATCCAGCAGCTTCTGCCACAGCTTTCTGGACTGGAGACGCTAAAGTTATCCATCGGCGAGGTATTCACAGACGAGTCCCGTCTACCTACATTATACAAATGGCTGCCGCCGAACATATCGACCCTCCGATTCCGAGGCCCAGCATCTCTGACTAAATCTACAGAGTGGAACAACTGGGTCCAGGCCTTCGCCGAGCGCGATTTTCTCCCCAATCTCAAGCAACTCTCCTTCGTCCTCGACCTCGAATACGAATCAAGCGATAGCTCGTTTGGTCGCCTCAAAAAATTGAAAGAAATCCCCGAGCACACCCTCCACGAAGCCCGTGCAGCATGCGAGCCCCTCTACGAAGCCGCACGAAGCCGCGGAATCGTCATCGAACGACTCTACGACGAATGGTCAGACGAATGTGAGATCCTGAGACAAGTGGATGATCGGTGGCTATGTTGACCTCCTCCACCCAACAAAGCCCCTGTAACAACAGAAACTAGTAACCATTGATACCCCCCTGCTCAATATCACTATCATGTAGAACAGAATGAAAAATTAAACTAAAAAAAATGGAACTCCATTCTCTCGCATGATCTCCCCACCCGTGACATACATATTGCATTCCCGTTCTAGAAACCAGCTCGTAGTCGTGTTCGAACATCGTCGTATCCGCATAATCTGCCGAACCGAGTATAACCTTGTCGGGGCCAAACGCAAAGTCAGCCCAGTGGATCTCCGCCAAGACAACAAAGGCTCGAAATAACTTAAGCTTGGGCGGGACTAGGCAGACAGAATTCCCACTCACACGAATCAAATGCTGCCTCGGGCGCGGTCTGACGGTGGATACGAATACGAGGGTCCGGTTTTTGCATGGCGAACCCTACATCAGGTATATAAGAGGAGTGAGATCCTAGAAGGGATTATAGTACTACTTAAATTTCCACCTTATCTTTATTCTGCCTGGTGTTAGAATCCTTCTTCCTATACAGAGATACATATGCAGTCCAAACAGAACAGCCAATCTTACATGATTGAGTGAGTGATTTAACGACGCATTAAAAAAAGATGAGCGACACGGAAAGTACACAGACGTATGTACTCCACATTCCCCAGCCCTACCATGTCTTCTATCTATACTACTAGCACCAACGGTGGCTACACTAGGTACCTACTAGTATACAGACTACAATCTCACATACATCCCAATAACACCAACACTAACAATATTCCAGTACATCAACCTCCACAACATCCAGAACCTCAACCACCCACACAACAACCTCCACAAAACCCCCACAACCACACACCCAAACCTTCCCTCTCGCCCACCCCCCACCGCCCAAACACACTCTCCGTCTCACCCCCCACTTCACACTCCAAATCCAACAACTCACGCCCGCCTCCCGCCGCCCGATCCCCATCCTCGAGGTCTACCAACCCACCCGCTTCGGCAAGACTCTCGGCGATGCGCCCCGCAAGCTGACCGCGCGGGATATGTACATCGTGCAGAGCGATGGGTATGCACATCTACCGGAGGAAGATCAGAGCCAGGGTGCCGTTGTGGGGGTGATTTATATGCCGGCGAAGGAGGAGAATAGGAAGATGGCGTTTCCGGGCGGTGGGGTGTGGTTTCCAGTTGGGGAGGGGTGGGAGGTTAGTGTGACGGCCAGGGGAGGGTATCGGTTTGTATTTAAGGGGAGGGCGGATGGGGTGAGTCGAGTGGTGGAGTGGGAGAAGAGGGTGGCGAAGGGGAGGTCGTCGTCGTCGGCGTCGGAGGGGAGTGAGATGAAAAGGGATGTGAGGTTCACGCTGAATATTGCGGAGTCGGGGCTGAGGCGCCGTGGTTGGCGACGTTGACGAAGCAGGGGCTCAAGGTTGGGGGGTGGGATCGGGCACAGAGAGAGTATCTGGCTTCGTCGTTACGAAGTGGGAATGAAGTGGAGGAAGATGCGGCGCTGTTTACCTCCATCTTGACGATGGGGGTCTACGTGGCGGCGCAAGAGGGTTGGTTGAGTTAATATCTCTTAACGAGGTTGTATGGTCATTTGTTTTATTGTTTCCTTTCTGATTTCTTTCTACCGGCTTAAGAATGTATAGCAAGCTTGATACCCCCCGGTTACAATTAGTGATTGAGACCCAGTTCCACGCCCTTGATCTGCAATGCCAATAGTCGCGAGTAGTACCGACACAGCGCCAGGTTGCCGCCCATAAACCAGAAGCCAGGGTGTCCGCTGCGCTGCCAGATCGTGCGCATCTCGCCTTCTTCATTGTATCCCCAGACGCTCTGGATGCGATCCGCCACCTCGTCGCCGAAGATGATGCGCGCCTGTGTTCTCATGTTCTGGTAGCCCGTCGCGAAAATGATCTCGTCGGCCTCCAGCTCGGAGCCGTCCGCGAAGCGTAATCCCTGCGGAATGACCTCTGCGATCTCTTGACCCTGCTTCACCTTGATCTTGCCGTCGGCAATGAGCTTGCTTGCTCCCACGTCGATGTAGTAACCGCCACCGCGCTGGAGGTATTTGATCAGCAGGCCCGCATCGTTCGGCCCACGGTCTACTTTGAAGCCCGCTTTCTCTAGTCCGTCCAGAATCGCCTTGTCGTTCTGATTTTGGACCGTCGTGATTTTCTTCTGCTGCGCCTTGAACAGTTCCGACGGAATGCTCCACAGGAACAAGTCGGCATCTTCAACCGGGGGGGCACTTTCCTCGTACAGGCCCTTCAGCCCAATCTTGGTGATGGATTCGGAAGAGATGACACATGTCGAACTGCGCTGGACCATAGTCACGTCGTATCCCTTCTCAAAGTAGTCATGTGCAATATCATGACCCGAGTTACAGGATCCAACCACAACCGCCTTCTTACCTTTGCTGTTGGGGTCCGCACCGGGGAACTCGGAGCTGTGGCAGATGCGCTTCCCCTGGAAAGTCTCAACGCCCTTGAATTCAGGCAGGTTTTTCTTACCCGAGTGACCAGTTGCCTGGATGACGTGACGGGGGTTGAAGGTACGAGTCTCGACTGTGCCGTCTTCCTTCTGTCGTTGGAGCTCAATGGTCCAGACATTGTTTGCGTCGCTCCAAGACGAAGATTGGAGCTTGGTTTTAGTCCACACGTTCAGCTCAAGAAGCTTGGCGTAGCATTCAAAGAACTCTGCGAGTTTGTCCTTGGGCGTGAAGATGGGCCAGTTTGCCGGGAACTGAAGGTAGGGCAAGTGGTCGAACCAGACGGGGTCGTGTAGAACCAGCTGGTGATACCGCCTACGCCAGTTATCTCCGATGCGATCTTCTTCATCAATGATCAGTGCATCGATATCGAGCATTTTCAGACGGGCGGCGATTGTCAGTCCAGCTTGGCCCGCACCTGGTAAAGTTAGCTTTTCTAGTGAAAGAGAAAAGGAACAGTGTACATACCAACGATTAATACTGTCGGGCTCTTCCCTTCATAGTTGAAATCGGCGGTTCGTCTATCCTGCCAATTCCGTCTATCATGATGCTCGCCATGCGATACGCCCACCGGCCGGTGATGGTTAATCTTCTCCTCACTTCCCTTGACCTCCAACAGGGATGTGAAGAATGTGAAAATCTTCCACTCGCCATCCTTCTCGGCCAGCCGGACAACCCCTTTTCCACTCCCCGCGTCGGTAGTGACCTTAATGAAAAACTGAATTCCAGTTACATCTCCAAAGGCATCGATAGGGAAGATCGCCGGTGCACGGAAGGCGGACGAGCGGTCAATTTCTACTTGTAGCAAACGAGGGTTTTCCTGGAGGAACTTGGTGATATTCTCTTGGCCCTTGATGGTGCGGAAGTCCCATGTTAGGACGAGATGGTCTCGCCAGTAGCCATCTTCAAGAAACAGTTTGGAGATCTCCTGAGGTTGCTTCAGTCCCAGCGCCGTGTTCAGCTGTCGTATCACCTCCGACGCGATCTTGTCTGCGTCAATACCAGTTGACAAGCATGTTGCGGGAAACGTCCCTACGGGGACATTGGAGGAGCCTGGCTCGACTCTGTCTTTTGAAGCGAGGGCCATCGCGTGGTTTTCTGGTCTGGTAGAGAAGAAGAATAGGTAACGCAACTATAAGTGCGGGGAGTTAAAGAATTGCGAGGGCGGGGTAACAAAAGAGAGCACGGGGTCTGGACTCTGGTCACTCTCCTCTTCTTTATACTCTCATCACCCCACTTTACGAACAACGCGTATTCGGAGCTGCAGCTACATGCTGTAGTAACTGCGTGGGGCGTTCTTCAGTCACTCGTTGCCTTCGAAATGCTGTCAAGCCACAATGTCTCAGACCATTCTCTGCTACCAGAAATTAGGTAGACTCCCTCGGGCTAGATTCCAATAGCTACCCACGTACCCCTCAGTCACATCTGCACCATTGAGTTGTCGAGCAACTAGCGCTGAACCCTTACTATAAGAGGCAACGATGGGCCCAGACGCACAATTATGGGGTCCCATTACAGGGATTCCTTGCAGAAGATGCGTCTCGGACATCGGAGAATGGCTCCTACTGGCACATTTGACTACCATGTGACTGGCTGCTCCAATAGAGTCGGGAGCACACCGAGTTCGGGCCATGAGGGTGATGCTGCGGTGCTGTGGTATCCCGATATCCTGCATGAACGGCCCCGCAACGTCCAACGCTCCTGTTGACCAAGCAACGACACCAAAAAGTGCAAAAAGAAACTCATGAGATGCTCCCACGCGGATTTGAACCGCGGACCTCATGATTACTAGTCATGCGCTCTACCAACTGAGCCATAGAAGCTGATTGGATGTGCTGCTTTGCAGTTTAATGCTATATAAACTTTTGACCAAGTGAGCTCAGAGCTGATGGATTTGGACTAGATGGAGACTACTAGTATCCTACGCATCTTCTACATCCATTGAGTGACCTACCGAACGGTTATCCCAATTGCCACGTCCGGGGGTTACCGGTATATCTGCGGCTTCCATAATTGGTCAGCCTCTAGCATTCTGCAGAAGGATCTATGAAGTTATGAAGGGTTCACTCGGGCTCTTCGGCAACTCAACCAGGATTGTTCATAGATAGTCCGAGCTAATGTTTTACTATCAAGAAAGGTCCCACTTCCTTGTATCGAATCGCAATCCCATCTACTCACTAGGATACACAAACCGGATAATTATCCTAACCACCCCGCAATTGCCCCAGTTTCCTCCGCATTCCAGGCAAGCTCACTACCGAACCCCATACCCGAAACTTTAAAACCAAGACTAGTATCAAACATCATGCCGCAACTTTCTCATTCCAGTCCTTGATATTGGATATCCTCTGCGCAACAAGAGGGGTGTATCAACTAAAATCCACTAAACGGATTAGAACTAGCTAATTAGCCAAGTCCGAGGATTCTCCGGTCCCCTCGACGAGACGACGATCATTGGCAGCGTGGTCTACGTATGGTGAACCGTCTCTCTGGTGGAACCCATATTCCACGCTATACTACATTTTGGGGACATCTCCTCGTTGTCATTTGTTATTTGTCACGATACCAAGCCGCCAGGCTATGGACGGTTGTGCTAAGCCTATTTTCTGAGATGTTATACTCACTATAAGTACCATTGAGAGGAAGGCGAGAAAAATGTTACCCTGGCTTTTCTGGTCAGTCCTCACAATGTTTCACGATAAAATACGGTCTGTGGCCTTCATGGCTGCTGCGGGCCTTTTCACAACGACTGTCGCTCAGACTGGGAATTGCTCGTCATCTGTGATTCCCCATCCATCCGTACCTGGAGGACAGGTATTGGATCTCTCTGCCATTCCAGTGACGAATTATGCACATGATGACTCTACACTGGATTTCTGCAATGTGACAGTCACATACACCCACCCAGGGAAGAATGATACCATCCATGCCACGGTCTGGCTCCCCTTCTCCAATTGGAACACCCGACTCCAAGGCTCCGGCGGAGGCGGTTTCTCCATGAGATCGGAAGATGCCGTCCTCGCGGCAGCTGTGGCCCAGAACTATACGGTCCTAGCCACGGACGGAGGCCACGACATGAACTCGCAGAGCTCAGCATCGTGGTCCCTGGACGCTTCAAGAAATGTGAACATGGCGTTACTGGAGGATTTCGCCTACGTCGCTCTTGGCGACGCTGCGATTATTGGTAAACAGGTCACCGCCAGTTTCTATGGTCTTGCTCCGCGGTACTCCTACTGGAATGGGTGCTCGACAGGCGGCAGGCAGGGTCTGATGCTCGCACAACGATATCCAACCGCGTATGACGGTATCATGGCCGCTGCACCGGCAATCAATTGGGCTAGTTTCCTGGTAGCGGAGTTCTGGCCCCAGTTTGTCATGAATGAGCTTGGCGCTTTCCCTCCAACTTGTGTCTCGGATGCTATTACGGCTGAGGCGATTAAAGCTTGCGATGGTATCGATGGGGTTGTGGACGGAGTGATTTCTGCGCCTGACTTGTGTGGTTTTGATCCATTTACTACGGTTGGCGCGAGGGTAAATTGCAGCGGAACCAGTGTGAGTATCTCCGAGAAGGATGCTCAAGTGGTCAACAGTACATGGGAAGGACTCAGGTCCTCGGGGGGCTCGTTCCTATGGTACGGACTCGACAAGGGCACGCCCCTGTCAATGGGCGCGTCGAGCCTCGGCCGCACCGTATGCTCGACACCGTTCAATTGCACTGGTTCTCCGTTTGCTATCTCGTCAGACTGGATCCGCCGGTTTATCTTGCAAGATCCGTCCTTCGACCTCACCACGCTAGACCACAAAGCCCTCGATAGGATATTCACCCTTTCCAAGAAAAGATACAACGACATAATCGGCACCGATAATCCAGACCTCTCTGCTTTTAAACAGGCGGGCGGGAAGATGATAACCTGGCATGGGCTCTCTGACACGTTGATCTTCCCCAAGGGTACAGAACAGTACTACACACGGGTGGAAGAGAAGGACCCGTCCGTGCGTGACTTTTATCGCTTCTTCAAAGCCCCGGGGGTCCATCATTGCTCTGGAGGTGTGGGGCCTGTCCCTGTTGACCCGTTGAG